CATGGCCTGTAACCAAGGTACATGCCCTTGACTGGAATCAAACTCAGGACCCTTCAGTCCAAGGGCTGACACTCTATCCACTGAGCCAAACTGGCTAGGGCTAACGTTTATAAAATGTCAAGGTGACACATAGTAAAATGGAAGAAAGAAGGTCAATAATGAATATAAGTAAAGGAGGGCTGCAGAGTTAAAACGTGGCCATTTAAACAACCTGTGTTTGGTAGATATTAATGTTCAAGTGGAAAACTAGCTCCTATGACTATTTGGAGGTCCCCCTTGTGGTTTGGGATAAACCCCTCCCTAACTCCAAAAACAAAACAAAGCAACAAAAACCCATTCCCCCCACCCCCACCCCAGGAATTTCCCTCAGAAAATCAAGATCTCTTGTAGTCGTAGTTCCTGGCCAGACTTGCTTCTCTGGAACCTCAAATAGACCCAATGGCACAGGAAGGAATGAAATGCAGAAGTGTGCACATGAGACGGACAAATTCCTGCCATGGTGGTGAGTTGGACTCTTGAGGACTGAAGTGCCTACTTCCCCCACATAAAACCTGAAAGGGGACAAGCTATTGGTTCTGGGACCCCTAATTTGGAAGGTTGCTCATTCTGAGAAGGTTGCAGAGATCACAGAATTCTCCCAGGGGGCTCTGTGGGGAATCAGGGAGGCACCGAGAAGCTGTGTTTGCTCACTCCACCAACTATTCATCATGTTATAACTTTTCCACAACTTGTTTGTTCATTTGGGGTAAAACTAACTGTAGCCAAGTCTTATTTGGTATTGGGGGTCTGGCATGCACCATAAAGCTTTTGAAATACCACACTAGTAAGAACAATACATTTAAAAAAACTATTTGTTAAAACATTATTGATACATTAATTCTCATGTTTACTCTCATTAAATAATAAAATTGCTTCTTTCTGTACTCAATTCTTAAGAATCTGAAAAATTATAAATGTACTTAAATAAAAAACTAAAAAAAAAAGAGAGTTAAAAAAATCATGGAAAATTATAATAAACTAGGGGCCCAGTGCACAAATTTGTGCACCTTGCAAGGAACTGTGGGCCATAAGGCTGCGGTAGGCACAGGGGCAGGTCTGGGCCCATCCTCTGTGCCCCTGCCCAGCCTCTCCTGCCGCAGCCCCACCCCTTCCTAGTCACCTGTCTGCCGGCAGACCTGCTCCCTCTGCCACCGCTCCCACGCTCTGATGGCACTGGCCCTGCTCGCACCTGCTGAAGGCATGAAGCAATTGAGGCCTGCGCCAGCAGCGGGTGCGAGTGGGGCCAGCACTGTCAGCGGGTGCAAGTGGCAGCTGCTGCTCTGATCACCCCGCTTGCAACAACTGATGGCGCCAAGAGATTGGGACTGGCACCGGGCACTAGCAGCAGGTGCGAGTGGTGGCTCTGGTGCCAGCTGCAGGTGCGAGCAGGGCTGGTACTGGCAGTGGGTGCGAGCGGCAGCTCTGGCGCCGGCAGCGGGTGCGAGCAGGGCCAGTGCCAGCATCAGGTGCAAGCACCGGGCAGGACCGTGGCGCACGGGAGCAAAGAATTTAATCACCAGAGGCTCACCCCGATGACAGCGACCAGTGCCCCGCCTTCATCTGGTGCCCCCATTCACCTGCTACACCATCCCGCCATGGCCGATGCCCGCCATGTTCTGCACACGCCCCCTGGTGGTCAGCACACATCATAGCAACCAGTTGTTAGATTGTTCAGTTGTTCCGCCGTTCAGTCTATTTGCATATTAGCCTTTTATTATATAAAGTATTGTACAAAAGAAGAAACTTTAATTATTTATGGAAATGTTGATGGCACAGTTCTACCAAAACTCATATACATTTCACTACTTAACTTATATATTGTCGCGGTGGAAAAAAACATTTGTCTTTACTCTTTCAGTTTCCTTAAGCAAAAGTCTGTATAATTCCAGAGGGATATCACCAAGATGTTATACAGATTGTGGTGGAACCTTGAACCTTGGTGGAACTCTGACTTGAACTTTGCCAATTTCATGCAGATGTAATGTGCATCTGATGTGCTCTTTGCTCAGGTCAAATCTATAGTCAAGATGCTTCAAAGATTCTAAGAAATTATTTGAAAACAATCTTAACAAAACGTGTATTGGGTCATGCCCACGGTTCATCCAAACTGTATTCTGTCTCTGATGGAGAAAGGTTATAGACTTTATGATATCACTCCAAAAGGGGTTGGATAATACCCCCAACTGACCCCAGCCCCATTACCCCAGCTTCCCTTAATAACCCAGACAAATTAATCATTGGTGTATTTATTCACAACTTTTTATAACTTATTTATACCTCAAACTGATTCATATGTGGGATCATTAATTTATTAAATGTACTGCCTGGATGTAAAGGGGTGTTACTTTTATTCCAAATATTTTATTCAAACAATTAAGAGAAGCATTTCAGAGATCAAGAGGTTCCCTTAAAACATGAAGAAATACTAAAATTGGGTTACAAAAATATGATGCATTTAAATATTTACATTAAACCACTATTTAACCCAAATATATACAATATAATCTAATTCTGCAACTTTCAAAAGATTTATAAAAAATGCAACAGTGTATGGATTAAAGTGATGTGGTATAGTCTTTCTCTCCTATATCTCTGTGACTATAGATTTTACTTCCTTTGGAGATGACCTCAAAAGGTTATCCTGAGGCTCTTCGTGAATGAGGGTCAAGCCAAGAGGCCCTCCTGGCCTCCTGGATAAACTCTGACATCTCGTTTCTAATAATCTGAGATTTGGTGACAGGGTCTCTGTTATCCTGATATTTGCTTTATATTTGATTCAGATTTTCCATAAATGGTAATAATTAAACTATTCAGGCTAAGTTCAAGAACAGGGAGAGTGGGAGATAGCAGGATGCAAATGAGAGATTTACTTCATGGATTGGCTGTGTTTCCCTGGAAGTAAACTGGTTGGGTAAACTCCAGGATACTAGGCAAGGTTAAAAAGCAGCAAAGTAGCAAAAGAGTGGCACAATGTGAGGCAATGTAGATAGTTTGTGTTGCAGCTAAACTATTACAGGAATATCTATATGTCTATATCTGTATCTCCCCATATCTTCATTATTCAGAAAGTTTACTTTTAAAAAGGCTACTGAACTGGCCTTACCCTACCTTTAATGTCATTCACTGGTCCACGAGGGAACATAGCTTAGAACAAGCAGCTGTGCTGGCTGATTTCTTGAGGCTTCTTAGACAAAATATCTGGAACTCTGACTTGAGCTTTGCCAGTTTCACGCAGATGTAATGTGCATCTGATGCGCTGTTTGTATTGACCATTTACGTCCTAGCCAGTAGCCAAGTCCTTAGAGTGGGAAGATTCTTCTCCAGCCACTTAATATTTTTGGATATGGTTTCCAGAACAGTTTGAAAAATATCCAGATGTAATCCTTGAGCTTTAAGAGAGTCAAAGAATAGTTTCACCTGGAAAAATAAGCAAGAAAAGAATTACATGGTTAAAAAACACTTTCTCTTCCAAAGGGTTTCAAACAGCTTGCGAATTATAGACACAGGTGCAAGCATTCCTTCGCCAATCTCTAAAAGGTTATTTTCTTCTTCTCTTCTTCTTTCTTTTTTTTTTTTTGCATAGTTAGTACTTCACTTTATCTTCAAACAATAAATAAAGACAGGAATGATAAACCCTCATCTTACAAGTGAGCACACTGTGAGTAAAAAGTTGTGATTAAGCGAAGTCATTGAGTTTGTAGTGAGCTGGATTAAGTTCTAGAATTCTGAGTTTGCTTAAAGTGTAAATAAATTCAGGATTTATTGTGGAAAGAAGATGTAAAACACCAGAATTAAAAAAAAAAAAAAAAAAAAAAAGACAAGTAGAATTGCCAACAATAGGAGTTGTTAAAAACCTTTAAGAACTCTTTCAAACTTCAATATAATCATTCATGATGATACAATAATGAACAAAATAACACAAAAGGACTCATCTCTCAAGGGTACTTTTCATTTCAAATGCTATGTATTTTAAAATGTTCTAGGTTCTAGTCCTTTGCCTTCCATTTACTTGCTACATGACATTGGAAAAATAAATTATTTTCTTTTAATAAAATGAGAACTCCAAACAAGATTGTACCTGTTTACTTTCAATTCCACCACTTGAACATTTATTTTTAAACTAGAGGCCTGGATTCGTGCACCAGTGGGGTCCCTTGGCCTGGCCTGCGGGGATCAGGCCAAAACTGGCTCTCCGACATCCCCCAAGGGGTCCCGGATTGCGAGAGGGTGCAGGCCATGCCAAGGGACCCCACCGGTGCATGATCAGGGCCAGGGAGGGACCCCGGCCCCTCTTGCCCAGTCCAGATCTGCTAGATCCCAGCAGCAAGCTAACCTACCAGTCAGAGCATCTGCCCCCTGGTGGTCAGTGTGCATCATAGCTACTGGTCAAATGGTCAAATGGTCGGAGGGACAATTAGCATATTAGGCTTCTATATATATAGATTGGTAGCAATAGTCACAAACCTCTTGTAACTCATCCTTGGAAGAAAAGTGAGATGTTGTGCCAGAGATGATTATTCTCACATCAAATGAGCCCAAGCCAAATCTGAAAATAAAAGCAATTTAAGTAATAGAAATACTGGCCTTATGTTTATTATATCATACACTTTTTAAATGTATAACATTAATAGCTATATGATAAGCTTGTATACTTACAATAGGCAGTATTAATTACCATAAGAATAACTGATATTCACCCAGTAAAATCCCCAAGGTATGAAATTTATCTAATTTGACCATAAAATTAAAATGTAGATAAAGCTGTCCTGGACAGCGTAGCTCAGTTGATTGGAGTGCCGTCTGCATACCGAAAGGTCTCGGGTTCAATAGCAGGTCGGGGTACACACCCAGGTTGCCGATTCCCCAGTGTGTATGTGTGTTGGGGGGGGGGGCGGGGCATGTGGGAAACAATTGATCGATGTTTCACTCTCACCTCAATGTTTCTCTGTCTCTCTCTCCCTCCCTCTCCCTTTCTCTCTCTATAAAATCAATAAAAATTTGTTTTAATGTAGATAAAGCTATTTTAGGAAATATGACTATCATATTCAGCAATGCTTATATTTAAATTTAAAGCAGCATTCTCTACATTTTTTTTTTGGCTATGCACCCCATCAGTAAAGGTTCTTGGACCAATAACTTCCCAAATTACATTTTATATATGAGTTAGATGCACCAAAGGCCAAAAAAATAAAATTTAAATGGCATAATAAATAATATATGTGGTAATATTTTCTTCTTGCACTCCAATGTATTATCTTACTTCCCCAGCCCATTTTTGGATACCACTGTGCTTAAACATTGTATTTATTAGGGCAATGTTACTTGGTTGAGCTCTCATTTGCAGCCACAGACTGCATCCTTCAGCTGGTGTCTTATACAGAGAATTCATACCACAGGTCGAAGGGATTCATGCTGGAAAGCAGAGCACAGATACATCTAAGAAATGGTTCCAAGTCTAGGCTCTGCACACGGTCAGGCAGGAGGATAATTTCCAGTTACAAAGGAAATCTACAGCATTGCAGAACAAGTCTGATCATTTCAGGAGGGAACTGACAGTCATGCGAACAACCCAACCAATGGTTCCAGTAGGGTTTTTATGGAAACACTTTTTTCCCCCAGCATTTTCTAACTGTTTGGTTTCAGGTGGCTGTCAACCCCTCCCTTGAAGGTCTGGGAGAAGGGTGTAAAATGGGCTTTTTGCTTACGCATAGCTGTGAGGACTCTGCGTCTTTTATGGCTAAGAAATGACAGATAAGAGGAACTGGGGGTAACTGACATCAGAGATGCTAACTGACACTGTTTATCTTAAAACAGAGAAAATTCCACAGCTCTTTCATACAGCGTATTTTTCACACAGTATTTCATAAGTGACATTTTGGATGTGGATGAGGAAATGGCTGAGCACCTTAGCAGGGGGTTTGTTGTGAGAGAAAGCAATGCCATTCTGTATATTCCAATGAAATGTAATTATTACTGTGTGTCCCCCACCACCACCCTGGGAATATGTTAGGCCCAGGAGCATACTGGAGTGAGCTCTGGTTCTCCCAAAAATTGAAGCCCCAGAATAGACACAGAACCAATCCAAAACACTTCTAATCAGATTTCTTTCAGCCACTCTACAGTCCCTGCTGCGCCCCCTTTACAGGTGAACTGAGGGTGGGGATTAGCTCTCATCAAAATTCCCCCAGAACAAAAAGCAAGCCAAATATGTTTGATGCACAATATACAGATTCACTGAAGTCCTCTGGGCTGGTGCGACAGCCAGGAGTTGGGGGGATGAGGCTGATGACTGGATTTAACTCAACTAGTATTTGCTCCCAGCAATTCTTTGCCTGGGATGAATAAGAGAAATCTGTTTCCCATTCCCTTCTGCTCATTCCTCTCCCTTACACCTGGACAGAGTAATTTGTGCTAGTTAGTTTTAAACCCAATAGACTTCATTGAACCATTTGTGTGAAATAGAATCATTTATACGCTTTGGGGGACACTCGATTACAATTGGTGTTAGGCAACTGAGACAGCTGGGTGAAAGAACACACAATGGAGGTAAGCCAATACCAACTTTTTTAGGATATGGGTCCAATTTTCTCTTACAAAATTCCAGGCTAATTTCTGTCCCTTTGGACTTCTAGCAATTGCATGAAGAAGAGATGCCAAGTCCTGTGTCTTGATAATCTTTCCTTCCATTCCTAGTTCAATTAATCTAAAGAAATAAAAACCACATGAATTTTCATGGCATGTGTTATGTAATGATAATTAACTCACACTACCAATATATTAAAAGAATAGGAGAGAAAGAAGCATGATAAAAAATAATTGACCAAAAAAATAATAAATTCTCTACTGGCTAACATTTTTAATGTTCTAGTTAACTTTTACTTTTTTCTAGCAGTAATTTTATTCACTTATTATTTCAAATAACTTTGATAAGATTGAAGTATCTCATATACAAGAATGTAGTTTTGTAATAATTTTCCTCCAAGGTTCTGTAAGTAAAACTATATCAATCACATGTTTAATAACTACATTTTGCTATCTACATTTTGACAATATGTTTTTTTTAAATCAAAGCAATTAAAATCCTGACTTAATTAACATATGCCTTTGAAATTGGTGGCTAAAATTTTAGTGACTTCACTAAATTTGTATCAGTTTACTTTTAACAACTTAGTTAAAGTAATGCACTTACTTCATTAACTTTTCCTGGTGTTTGCTGGTTGACAATGCATACAGAATTTTGTTTTTTTCAGCACCTGACATTGACAGTTCATATTGCTCCAAAAGATAATTCCATCCTGGTGTTGTCTGAGCACCCACGGAATACACAATCTTTAAAACATCTGTTGGGATACTGCGATATTAAGCACAAAGGTAAAGAAAAAAGCTTTATGAAAGAAATTTTTTTCTTATGATTTAAAATTGCTATAACAGGATCACCCCTGACTTATTCCCAGTAACTAGGATACTAAACCTTTTTTTCTGCCAAACTTTTATAAAATTATTTTATGTAATTTTACTTTGCAGATTATATGTGTGTTTTCCTACTGATAATAAAATGTTAGCAGGAAAAATAATCATAAAATTTTAACCTGCACAGAGGAATGAATGAATTAAAGAGATGATTTCTGAAATATAAGAGCACTAGTTTATACTGAATTCTGTCATTAAATAACCTGTATTGGTGCTATATAATTTTTATAAACATGATTACTTGCTGCTTTGAAGTCTCATTAAGAGTGTATTCTAATAGGCCTATCTGGGGGTCATTTTACGATTCTGTAAAAGTGATCAGATGCAATAATATTATTTTCTATCCACCTAAAGAAGACACTATACTTTTAGGGTTTTATTATCCTATAGGATATTAACTAGTTTTAACTTTAATTCATTCTATGATTTTTAATTCCAAAAATAGTTAGATCAATAATATCTGATATTCATAGTGATGGCTTGGAAAAACCACAACACAGAGATGTTGGGATGAGGCTGGAAATTTGCATTTATCACACAGCAACCATATAGTAGGGATTGTACTAGTCTTTGTACACTTTATATAACTGTCAAAGCTACCCAGTGAGATGGTGATCCTAATTTTTAAAATGTGGAAATAAGCTTAGAAAGGTTGAATAGCTTGCTTAAAGGTGACATAACTAGCTATTTTGGAGATAGGTTTTAAACCTGTGATTCTAATGCTTGTGGAATTTCCACTAGACATACTTAAATATCCCAAGTGCCATTTGAATCATAAAACAAAGATTAAGTAATTAAATTCTAATCCACATTGCTATGATTTTAGTGTACTTGTCTGTATAATTTTATGAAAATTGGTAATGAATACATTTTAAGTTCCTTGTAGATGGGACACATAGTAGTTGTGTCCACTACTCTGTCCTTAACACTTACAGCAGTGCCTGGCACATAGGTGAGTTGCAAAGTATTATATTTTTAATTCATGAATGAATAAATTAATAAATAAATTAATTAATTAATCTATATAAGGAATTCGTCATTAGGATTAATACTAATGGTCTTAAAGTTTAGCAAAAAACCCCCCAAAAAACAAACCCTACAAAATTTAATTCTGTGTTCTTGATTCTAAGCATAAATGAGCTTTACCCAGAATATTTTCACAGGCATAGCATCCTACTCAACATGCGGAACCAGCATATCTATTGTACCTGGGTTACTGTGAATGAGGTCAGCCCTCTTACGCCTAGCATAAACACAATAGTATTCTATTATGTTATGGGGCAGCAGGATGCTTACATTTTAGCCTTACTCATAACAACCAATCAAAAAGAAGAGAAAAATAGAGCTAAAGATTTTAGGATTAAATCATAAAGAGCAGAAAAGTCTCAAAAGAAGAAAACTGGAATTGCTTTTTTTTTTTTTTAAGGAATAATTTGCCCAGCCGGCTTGGCTCAGTGGTTGTGTGTTGACCTATGAACCAGGAGGTCATGGTTCGATTCCTGGTCAGGGCACATGCCCAGGTTGCAGGCTCCATCCCCAGTGTGGGACGTGCGGGAGGCAGCCAATCAATGATTCTCTCTCATCATTGATGTTTCTATCTCCCTCTCCCTTTCTGAAATCAATAAAAAAAAATATTTTTAAAAAGGAATAATTCAAGAAAATATTTCAAAAACTTGCTGAGATTTAGTTACGGGGAGAAAAGTTATGATAGCATATCATAGCAATTTTATACAGGAAAAAAATGACATCATTTCATTACATGGTACTAAAATGGTGAATTTTTTCTTCTATTTTTTAAAAAATGAATCTCCTTTAATTTACATAAAGATTTGATTTCTCAAAACATCCAACTCCAGAGTCAGAGTTTTAACAATAACAATATAAAATCATGTGTTGGTCAGAAATCAAGGCTTGCATTGAAATGATCCCAGGCAGAGTCTGTTAGTGCCTATGAGTTGCAGCCATATAATTGAAGTGCAATATAATCCACTTGCTCACGGGGCATCTTTCTCATTTCTACTAACCATGGAATCAATTTTGCTACCATGTGCATTCTTTAAATGGCTCAATTCACTAGTTTCCCATCAAAGTGGAAACTTGGGGCCAAGGCTTGGTCTATGGTATTGGTTAATGAGGAAGTAAACACATTTTTTAAAGGCACCCCTCTTTTCTTTCACAAGTTTCCTCAAATGATCACTGAGGTTTCAATTGCATATACATTTTACATTGCTTTTTATCTTTAAAGGGCACCATTTTTGGAGATGGGTGTCCCTCTGCTCCCATAGTCTGGCTATCTTTCTGGTGCCATGTCAATGTTTATTTTGCTCTCCCCTATAGAGACTTAAACCTCACTTTCCACAAAATCTATTGACCACTTACTGTATGAGAGCATGAAACAAGAGTATATAATTCCCAGCATGTTTTTTTCTATCTTTACTAAAAGGTTTTAGCTCTGTTGTTCTGCATGATCAAAGACTTTTACATTAGTGGAAGGGACAACCTGGCTTGGCTGGCATGGCTCAGTGGTTGAGCATTGACCTATGAACCAGGAGATTATGGTTCAATTCCCAGTCAGGGCACATGCCTGGGTTGTGAGCTCCATCCCCAGTGGTGGGGGGCTTGATTCTCTCTCATTATTAATGTGTGTGTGTCTCTCTCTCTCCCTCTCCTTTCTTCTCTGAAATCAATAACAAAATATATTTTTTAAGTGGAAGAAACAAAGAATAGGACAGAAGTCTAGATCTACTTTAATTTCCCACTGGATTCCATCCACTGAGAGAAGAGGTCAGTTGCCTTCTGAATGCAAGGAGCATGGTTCAGGTCACAGGCCAGCTTCAACAGGGTGGAGCGGAGCATGCTGTCCCAGACGGAGCCCTCGTCGCTCCAGCTTTGCGTGTCAATCACTGGCTTGAAATACCGGAGAAGGTAACGCTGCAGAAAGCACAGGATGGTTTACAGAGAGGCTAAATTTAGTTCTTAACACAGCTCTGACCCATCTAAAGGCTCAACGATAAACTATCTGCATGAACCTTTCCCAAAACACAGAACTACTTATATTTCTCTTCTCTTTTTTTCTGGCTCCAACTCACCATGTTTAAGAAACAAAGTTAGTTTCTCCATTAAAAATATGATTTAATTTCCTCTTTGAGAGGGAACTATCAGTTGATATGAGATAAAAATCACCTTAGGAGGGATGTTTTGCTCATGATCCTGGTACGACTCTTAGAATGGTGATGACAAGAAAGAAGGGGCATCCACCCATCAGGCACTGTGGTGTTAATCGTGCGATCAGCCAGTGTCTTCAGCTTCTCAAAAATTTAACCCCAAGAGTCCACACAAAACAGACCAAGTCTCACTGATCCTCCAGACACTGTGTATTTACTTAATGAATTTTCCGAACGTAATACAAACCTTGAGGTTTTCAGTGACATCTGAGATATTCCTTCTGTCCATCGTGTGGTAAAACAATTCTAAGTATCCCAGACCTTTGAGGAGTGCAAGGCTGCTTGTTTCATGTTGGAGATAGCGGGTCAGGTCGAGAGCTTTATCTAGGGTCAACCTTCCTGCACTGAGAAATTAAACAAATGTTGGTGGTTTGTGTATATCTTTCAGTTCTTAATATTAACCATGATATAGAGAGCCATAACAGAAGTTCATTATAGCCGGTCCATTTGGTTTAAATCCTAGCTGGGCCACTCACTAGCTGTGTGATCTTGGAAAAATTACCTAACCTCTCTGGGATTCAATTGCCTTCCTTATACAATGGGGGGGAACAATAGTATCTTCTTTTATTGTTGTAAGGATTAAATAAGTTAATATATGGAAAGCACTTAGAATAATGCTTAGCATATAGTAGGAGCATTATAAATGAAATAAATACTAGCTAACATTAATATTTAGTACCAAATAACATCAAAGTGTTCATATGTTATGCCATTCTCTCATTGTTTAATTTGTGGCTTTAACTTGTTCCTCCAAGTGAATTTGGAACTTTGAGGACAGGTGTCAGGATTTTTCTTTTTTTGATGTTCTTCCTAGAGCCTAACAGAGAAGCAGTAATTATTATTGCAAAACAAGTATTTCCAGCTTATATTATAATCTATTTAGATTCTAAAGTTATATAACTTCTCTACACTTTCTTTTAATGATAAAAAAACAACAACAGCAAAACTATTATTCTGAATACCAAAGTGGTAGGGTCTCTCCCGTGAGGAAATACATCTCTGCAATGGCACTTCTGTGAAGTGGTTCTCAGCTGTGTTTCTGAGAGGACTTGTGTGCCCATGGGGTCTATACCCCATGCTTGCCAGCATCAGACTCCCAGACTTAGCAAAACAGTTTGAGGTGGTAAAAAAGATTTCGGAACAAAGGATGGCTGTTGAATTTTTCATTAACATAATGCCCTACATCCTTTGGGTTTTAAGATTTTTAAATTATGATCTAAAAAGAGGGAACTGAAAGTAGAAAGAAATGAAATTAAAGAGAACCAACTTCTGTTGTGACTTCACTCTTCTGACATGCTGCTTTAAATAAACTAATGGAAAGTTTCCCCAAATTTTTGTCTAAAGACAGAGGGCTGGACCATATAGTCTGCTGTATTTTATAAAACACAAATGCACATAATGTCATTATTCCTTTTAACATGTATAAGCATCATCATATAAAGTGCAGTTCATACCCTTGAGCATCAGCAATAGAAAGAAACTGGCTATTATTTTCTATGATCACAGTTTTATAAAGAATGTTTAACACATAAAAAATTACTTTATATTAATCCTGTTTTTCTTTTTGGCCAAGACTACTTTATTTTTCACTAAGACAAATACCATTATTAGAAAACTTTTTATATGCCTACATTAAAAAAAATTAATCTTAATATTCATTTAAGAGATTCCTTTTCTTTTTATACAGTAATATCTCTCTTATATATAAAAGCCTAAGTGACCGTTACAACCAAATGACTGGAATGACTGGAAGACCAGTCGACCAGTTACTATGACACACACTGACCACCAAGGGGCAGATGCTCAATGCAGGAGCTGCCCCCTAGTGGTCAGTGCACTCCCATAGCCAACCTCCCGCAGCCGGCCAACCTCCCACTGAACCTCCCCTCAGCCGGCCAGCCCCCATTGGCCCCTGATGCTAAACCATTCATAGAGACCTGCTTCTGGGTCAGGGTTTCATACATAGCAGAGCAGCTCCCTCTCTGTGATCTATTGAAAGTCAGCCCTTGACACAGGGTTTGTCTCGCTCCCATCCTCTCCCTTCCCCAGAGGCCGCCCGCCTGCCATAGTGGCAACAAGGCGATAAGGAAGGAAGGAGAGGGGGAGGTGGGGAACCACGCAATGGCAGGGTGATGTCAGCATCTGGTGTCTGTTCCTTCCACACCCCAGCCCAGCGTTTGTCACCTCCTCTCTGGACCCTGCCTGGTGCCTTCAGGCCCGGGCTGGGACAGGAAACTGGGGTGGGTGGCGGTGGATGCGGCCCCTTTCCCAGGGGTCTGAGGGCTGGCTCCCTCCTCGGAGCCACCGGCCAACCTCTCACGGTTCCTCCACCCCACCCCCGAGTGCACAAATTCATGCACCGGGCCTCTAGTTGTTTAATAAAAATCCAGCTCCTCACCATCTGCACAAAACATTATCTGAATGTTTGTTTACCTTAAAGATTAAACACATGTATAAGCATACACTTCAACCCAACAGGAAAAATCTGTATCTACTTAACTGTATATAGCTTCAGCTAAAGGGTATCTTTGTGGAAATACAACCATATTCCTATGGAAGCAATTTGGGGCAATTTTTTTTTTTTTTAAGGTGTGGGGCTAAGAGAAACAAATATTTTTTCTGTAAGGAAATTAAAATTGTCATTTTAATTCCACTCAACTCAGATGAGATCAAAGTCTTAAATTATGTTTATAAAGTATGAAAATCCAATTAAAATACATATCTATTCATGGGTCAAATTTTGTCTCCAAACTAAAAGTGATCACTGATTACTTCCTTTAACTCTTAAATAGATATTTCATAGAATAGGGAAGGAAGAGATATATATCACCAAGGGAGTCTAGCAAGTAACAATGTTTAGACTTACTATGAGAGTTTTAAATTGCCTCCTTATACAATTAATTTTATTATTATAAAAGTAATATAAAAATTACAAAATAATTGGAAATTAGTGAAGAGGGGGGAAATACTTAAAATTTCACTACCCTACACATTTACTAATAGCACTGGAATATAACCTTCTGGGTGTTTTTTTTTCTCTCTCCACATTTAGCTTATTTTTTTCCTATGTAGTTAAAAGCATAACAATACACAAACACATATTTTAAAAGCATTTTTTCAACTTCACATTATTTGAAATGCATTTTTCTATGCTGTCACCTCCTCTTCCTATTCAACACATGATCTTTTAAACAATGTATATTAGATAACACTAATAATGCTAACAGCTGACATTTATTGGGCAGGTACTGTGCTTGGTGTTTTATCTGCCTTATTGTATGCAATCTTCAAAATACCTGTGCAATAGATATTATTACTTAAATCTGGAGTTTTAAAGACTAGGAATGTTTTAAAGACTAGAAAATTTAGGCTTAACACAGTTAAATAACTTGCTCATGTTAAACAATAAGTGAGAAGGTAGTACTTGAATTCGTCTGTTTTAAACCAAAATTTGTACTCTTAAATTAACTTCATTAACCTGTTCATTTAGTGAAGAAAAGATCATTGCTTCTCCATTGATGCATCAGTAACTATAGTGTTCTTTCTGCTAAATTTAGGCTACCCAAACATCTATAGGTTAGAAATAGCACAAAAGACTTAGCTACTAATGGAAAGATCGGCCTCCATTTGCTGAATTGTCAATATTCTTCATCCTTTCTAGTCTTAAATTTTTAATCTACTTTTATGCAACCTGTGAGTCTCTCCTTTGAGCAGACAAACCTTCAACTAACAAGAAATAGCCTACTAGTCTGTTATGCATCTACTCAAATGAAGGATGGTGCTTTCTTCTAATCCTAGCCTTCGATGTCTATGATACTGTGATGTTCCTGAGACCCAAGGGGCTGAGGATTGAGCACTCAGTCCTTTCTCTTTTCTAACTCAGGAGGTCAGTTGTATGGAGGAGAAGCTTTGTCTGAGAAATGTCCTGCTGGTTGTTTTTACTCAAGTTGACCTAAATAAACATCTGAAAGGAAATAATATGTCACACAGTAAAATGAGTAATTCTCAGAATAGGAAAAGTTACAATGCACAACACTTCACCTGATCCCTACATTTGTTTCCCATTGGCCATCTTATGATCTGATTTTTTCTACATATTATTCTTGGAGGATAAATGGGAAAGGAAAGGAAGTACTTTGTCATTCCAGGAAAGTCTAAAGAGAAATAAACATAAGAAGCCAATTCTTCCTTTATTTCCCTTCTAGTTTTACATTGATTTCTCTAATTGGGCAAAGTAATGAATGGATTATTGTACTAAACTAAAATCTCATTTACAATTGTAAAGGTTAAGACTATATTTATACTTTTTGTCCAGCAGATTACATAGGTATTTGGTGAAACAGCAAGCTACTGGCATAAACGAATTTTAAATCTGGGGTTAAAAGCTTTAGTGCCTAGAGGTTTCACCTAAGTGAATGAATCAAGTCATTCATGTGTACTGTCTGGGACTTGGGCATATGTAAGAGTGCCGGCCTGGCCTACAGGGATCTTCCTACTGCACCCTCCTCTATGGTTGCCCTGTGAGAATGATGGCCCAAAGCTGCCAAATCTTCTCATTGTTAAAGAAATTCCAGAAGTCAGGATTTTTATATCAAATTCTTCACATTTTAAAATAGTGGATTAAACACCTAAGCATGTGTGTGCCAAAATACCTTATCAGTGGGTAGGCTTTGGCCTAATGGCCAGTATTTGGCTTCTGTTCAGGTCCATATCATATGAATGATAAAACACTGAATGTTTGATTTTGAAATCAGCATATCTGGTTATGAATCAGTTATGTCCTGTGAAATCAGATAACATTTTACATTACCTTACTAGCTGAAACGCATCGTGGATCAGACTTGTTCTGTCCTTAGGTCTGAGGAGTGTGTGGTTCTGATTCAGCTGTTGAATGAGTTGGTCCCATCCCTGCCCCTCATAATGAACAATATAGTAGCCATTTGAGTTCACATTGAATTTCACCCAGCTGGTATCTTCAGGTAAATCCAGAACATCTGAGAGGAGGAAATTGGCATAGGCATTTCATTATCAGCATACATGCCAGGAACATCTCCAAAAAAAAAATTAGTTTCTACGCTATTATTAATAAATCAATAAGAAGACAAAGTTTTGGAAGAGTTATGATGATACTGATTTTCATAGTCTACTGGATGGTTTCTGCTGGAAATAATGGTCTTATTAAATGAATAAATAAATTAATTCATATGAAAAAGACTGCTAAATTTGTTCTCAAAAACAGTCTATGCAGGTCTAAGAGGCATACAAGGGTCCAATGAACCAGATGATGAGCATGACTGGAATTTGGCTTGATTTATTGGTGGCCATGTCTCCAGGTTTAGTTACTAGCCATTGAAATATGTGTATGTAGGAGACCAAGATGGCGGCATAGGTAAACACCGCAGACTGCTGCCGCAAACAACCACTTCAAAAATACAACTAAAAGACGGAACGGACATCACCCAGAACCGCAGGAAGGCTGGCTGAGGAGAGACTCTTCAACTAGAAGGAAAAATAACAGCACACCGAGGCTCAGAGGAGGCGCAGTGTGGAAAATACTCAGGTGCGGAGGTGCGCGCGCAAAGCGGGCTGGTGGCTGAGAGCGCGGTTGTCGTTTTCGGTCAGGGGGGAGTCTCAGACTCTGAGCTCCAGATACGGGCGAATCGCTGGGGACTCGGACCCAAACGGGAGAAGCGGGAGTGTCTGGCATCAGTTGGAAGGCAGCTTTCCCTCCGAGGTTTGCAGCGGTTCCGGGGGTTCTGAGAAGCAGAGCCTCTGGGAACAGGACTGAGGGCACCATAACGGCTCCCTCCGCCCGCCCTGTTGAGCCCGCCCCGCCCAAGCCCTGCGCAGAGCCATTTGCCGGATCGCCTCAGGCAAAGGCTAGATTAGCACCTCCCCAGAGGACAGAAGTTTTCCGCGGCAGACACAGCTGATTCACACAGCCAGTCGGCCTGGTGGTCAAATCCCTCTAGTATTAACTACAACAATCAAGGCTCAACTAGAACAAGACTGCGCACAAAGACCACTAGGGGGTGCACCAAGAAAGCATAAAAAATGCGGAGACAAAAAAACATGACAGAAATGGACGATATAGAGCTAAAAAACGCAATTTTGAGGGCTTGCAATAAACTTTTGGAGAGCTTCACGAAAACTAATGAGACCCTCGATGCTATGATAAAGAAACTAGAAATTAAGCATACACGCTCTGAAATAAAGAATATTACACCCAATAGCAGACCAGAGGAGCGCAAGAATCAAGCCAAAGATTTGAAATGCGAAGAAGCAAAAAACACCCAACCGGAAAAGCAAAATGAAAAAAGAATCCGAAAATACGAAGATAGTGTAAGGAGCCTCTGGGACAGCTTCAAGCGTACCAACATCAGAATAATAGGGGTGCCAGAAGATGAGAGACAGCAAGATATTGAAAACCTATTTGAAGAAATAATGGCAGAAAACTTCCCCCACCTGGTGAAAGAAATGGACTTACAGGTCCAAGAAGCGCAGAGAACCCCAAACAAAAGGAATCCAAAGAGGACCACACCAAGACACATCATAATTAAAATGCCAAGAGCAAAAGACAAAGAGAGAATCTTAAAAGCAGCAAGAGAAAGAGACTCAATTACCTACAAGGGAATACCCATACGACTGTCAGCTGATTTCTCAACAGAAACTTGGCAGGCCAGAAGGGAATGGCAAGAAATATTCAAAGTGCTGAATACCAAGAACCTACAACCAAGAATACTTTATCCAGCAAAGCTATCATTCAGAATTGAAGGTCAGATAAAGAGCTTCACAGATAAGGAAAAGCTAAAGGAGTTCATCACCACTAAACCAGTATTATACGAAATGCTGAAAGGTATCCTTTAAGAAGAGGAAGAAGAAAAAGGTAAAGATACAAATTGTGAACAACAAACATGCATCTATCAACAAGTGAATCTAAGAACCAAGTGAATAAATAATCTGATGTACAGAATGAACTGGTGATTATAATGAATCAGGGACATAGAAAGGGAATGGACTGACTATTCTTGGGGGGGAAAGGGGAATGGGAGATGCGGGAAGAAACTGGACAAAAATCGTGCACCTATGGATGAGGACAGTGGGTGGGGAGTGAGGGCGGAGGGTGGGGCGGGAACTGGGAGGAGGGGAGTTATGGGGGGGAAAAAAAGAGGAACAAATGTAACCTGAACAATAAAGATTTAATTAAAAAAAAGAAAAAAAGAAATATGTGTATGTAAATAGTTGATCCAGTAGTTCAGTCCTTATTTGGAGTGAAATAAGGACTCCAGGTTGAATATGATGTTCTGATGGATACTCTCTCAAATTTCAGTGAAGTGTTTAAGGAAAAATTGAAATATTAAGTGTTTTTAATATGACAGATATTATACTTGGTGATAAAATAGCATTATCATATTATCTTAATAACTGTGAGGGCTAGTCCTCATTTAAACTAAGATGAAAAAATTGAAGTTCAGGAAGTGTTAAACATTTTTCTTAAGGCCACACATCTAATAGATGACAGAATGATGGTATGAATCCACAGACAATAAATTCCTAAGTGTATGCTTTTTTCTACTATACATGTTTGCCTCATGGTTTCACAGCTGGATTAGTAGGTATTAAAAGACAAGACAGGATGCCATCATTTCTTGATATAAGTAAAACTTATTTCTGAATGCTAAAAGCACAAGAGAACCACCCACTGAATGAAAATTTTACTTCCTAGCTAAAATGTCCTTTCTGTAACTAGTATATGGATAAATAAGAAATTTCTCAAACTTAAACTTTTGTTAGTAGTATCTTTCCTCCAAATAGTTCAGAACGTATTTAATTTCAGAATTGAAACACATGTTTGGCTAATCAGTTCATTACCTGTCTTTGATTTTAAAATGTGTCTGTGAATCACATTAGAGGAACTCGTGGTGTAGGTCAATGGGATGTGCCAAAGGTACCTATGTTAGAAAGTAAAGACCGTTACAAATTAAATAAATGACTATTTCAATTTTCACATTGTCAGATTCAGATAAACTGTAAAAGGCACCTAACCACCCATCCTTTACATTATCAGAAACCTTATAAATTTTATTGGCTAAGACTAGCAGACCCTTGGGCATGCAATAATTCTTCCAAGATGAAGAATTGAAGGTATAGCAACATATACCTAGTTGAATTCTGTCACAATTACCTGTGCCATTTGCTGTATAAATCTCATACCACAATAAGTTCTGTTCATTGTTTTCTATAAAGAAGAAAAAGAAATCCAATCTTCCTTTCATATTTCCAAAAACTCAGACAGCCTGATACTAATGCAAATAACTGAATCAAAGCTGTAGGAAAAAGCCTTAAGAAGTCTAGATCTTGCCGAAAGCGGTTTGGCTCGGTGGATAGAGCGTCGGCCTGCGGACTGAAGGGTCCCAGGTTCGATTCGGTCAAGGGCATGTGCTTGGGTTGCGGGTTCATCCCCAGTGGGAGATGTGCAGGAGGCAGCTGATCGATGTTTCTAACTCTCTATCTCTCTCCCTTCCTCTCTGTTAAAAAATCAATAAAATATATTTAAAAAAAAAAAAGAAGTCTAGATCTTATTCCAGTATGACCTTCCACTTACCCTTTTGCTCAACAAAGCTAACCACATCCAACCACCCATCTGCTAAGTGACTGTAAGTGGCCAACAGTTTAGGAACTGCAGGCCAGCAAGTCCAGAGAGCAGAAAAGAGGCATGGATAGAAGCCTCAGTTACTTTCCAATGGTCTTACTATGTTAAATAACAGAAACTGGCTATTTTTTTCCTCACTGACTTTTTAGAAACTTCCAGAATTTACTTCTTTTACCACATTAAGCCATATTAACCATAGTAATCCAGCACATGTGAAATTATGGGTTTGAAAACACTAACAGGTATACAATGGAAAGGAGAAAGTCCTCAAAATATATAAAATTAAAGGAAACAATACACACTGACTCCATCTAGGAAAGGGTCAGAAAGGAATTATCTACCTGCTAAACCACAAAGAGTACAGATAATTAACAAAGCAATAGAAATATTTACACAAAAAAGGTAAAAATGGACACATATATATTGCCAAGACTTAATGGAATGATTCCTGGATGAAATCTTAGCTCTGGAAGAAAGGGATATTTTCAGATAAACATATCTGGGGATAAAAAGAGGGAGATTAGCATTTCACAAGTTTGAATAGGCATGAACTAGAGAATAATAATTTTAAAACAGTAATCTAAAAGCTGCCACAGGAAGAGGAAAAATACAGGTCATCGTAGATCTTTGTAATTCTGGACCATCCACACTATTGAACTCTCTCGTGACATTTTGATAAGTTACAAAATTGTGAGTCCTGCTTTCCCAATGATGAATCAAACATAAAAATGTCCAGGCTGTGTTGCCAAGTTATAAATCGTCCAAGCTCTTTGAGGTTCAGACTTCAGAAGAACATACAGAAAAACAGAAAACTGTGTCTCAGAGAAGTAGCATAAACGTTGCTGTTGGGTTGGGAATAGGTAACTGATGAAACAAAAGGAGAAAACATTCGCTTTCTATGTGCTATTCTACCTGGTTTATGCTAAAGCCCTTGAATTTGCTTCTGATTCTCAGAAAAATTCTAGAATTGTTATTGACAGCTAGATCTTTAGAAAAAAGAAATAACAATCATAAGAGGCAGCACAGATTCACTTGCATTGTTTCATTTTAAACTAACCTAATTCCTCTTGTTAATAGGCTAATAGATCAGAGAACAGTGTTGTGTTTTCTCAGGATAGGCTGGTGAACAAGACTGTGTGGTTAATTGGATTTGCTTTGATTATTACCAAGGACAGCATATATTTTAAGACATTACATTTATAGTCTATTAGTGAAAATAAAAAGGCAACAGGAGGTCTTAGCATTTAATTTATCACATGGGGAATATCTTTTCTCTTCTGATGATTTGTATAGCTGTAATAACACTTCCTAGGTATAGGCCAGTCACGCAACTTATTAAGGCCCAGAAATCTAGTATTGAAAAGAGTCAGGAGATATTGTAATGGAAATATAATCGACCACCTCTGCATCAGAACTGAGTTTCTAAAGGTGGCTGCAGAAGTACTAGGAACGCAACTGTGAACAACACCGTCCGGGCCACCTGCAGCTCTTTAAATGTGATCAAGGCTAGTTTAGGCCTTCATTCCTGTGCGAGATAGCATCCCGCGGTCGCCAGAGAAGCTGAAAGAAAATTAATGCCACAACAAGCAAACGGAGATGAGGTCCATCAGACCGACAGGAGACAAGCAGCCACCTTTCCTGCAGGGCCCTCCATCCAGGGTCCTCTTTGAACACCCCGCTCAGGAAGCGCTCCTGTCGCAGTCTGAGCGCGCGTCCTTCTCGTTCAACCACCACGAGGGGGATTCCTTTCTGCAGAGTCCACGTAGCCATCATCTCTTTGACCTCCACACCTTCCCCCTGAAAGGTGAGCTGAAAGGACAAGTGACTGTGGTTAAGTCAACACAGAGGAGAGAAAACCAAGAGAGATGAGAAATTTGGGGCCCCTGGGATGCCAGAAACAAGGCGGGGGGAGGAGGGCGGACTCGGACTCAGTCTCGGACTTGGGCTGCCTCTGGGCGGAGCAATGCGGGGACTGGACAGGGCTGCTCTCCGCAAGGCACCGGAGGGAGGGATGTGAGTGGGAGCTTGAGGTTAACACACACAGGGCAGGGAAAGCCAAGAGGAAGGGTTTGAGATGGAGCCTTCCTCCTGCTCCCTTTCAAAACAACAAGAAAAGAAACGCCTCTCCCTTTTGGTCATGGTGGAGCCCAGGGCGGGTGGCCTAGGAGAGAAAGGGCTTCCTTTAAGGGGAGCTTTAAGTGTTCCAACAGAACCATGTATCAACAGAAGTATATTAAATGGAGAACAAAACCTCTAGCTTCTAGCATGGCTTTCTGAAAATTGGATGATCCAGAATCCTCCTTTAGAATCCATCATTTATGGATTACCATGACTCTGTTAAATAAGAGTTTGCTTTTTTGTTGTTGTTGTTTATGATGACTTTTTCTCCCTCTCTCCTAAAGTGCTCCAGTAACTTCCCAGAAGTAAACAAAAAGACAAGCCCTCAAGAAAGCCAAAGCCATTTGCTCTATTTCCAAACCTAACATACCCTGTTTGGCAGTTTTCAGAGCCTAGAGGATGCCAGCGCCTCGGTAAGCACTCAGTGGCATTTAAAGCTGAGATATTCTTAGCTACCCGTGGGGCTGTGGGAAAGCTGAATTATAACAACAAAACTGTGGCAGTAACAGCATCATCCCCCTAAATGGCCTGAACATTCCTCCTTCAGTCTGCTTTGTTTCAAGGAAAATCCTGGAGGCTCTCTTCCTCTCCAGTTACTTAAAGGGACAGTTGGGCTATTCTACACACTCACTCCCGGCAGGTGCTGGGCCAGCTCTCGTCTGCTCTGTAGATCTCTTTATACTTACTGTGCTGCGTGTCCTCTTGGAATCGGAATAACAAAATCCACCAGATGTAAAATCACCTTCTAAACAACCCTATAGAACAAGAATAAAGAGCACTACCATTCGGGCACTGCCAGTTGACTGAATATGCATATTAGACATGAATGCAGACATTTACTAGCATAGCTATATGAAAATTAATTCATCTAGACCAGTGGTTCTCAACCTTGGCTGCACATTAGAATCACCTGGGAATCTTTTAAAAATCCTCATCCGATGAGGCCCAGAAATCAGGATTTTAAAAAGATTCCCAGGTGATTCTAATGTGCAGCCAAGGTTGAGAACCACTGATCTAGACATTTGATAATGAACATAGCAACTCATGAAATGAATACAGTGGGGCCTTGACTTACAAGTGTCCGGACTAATGAGTTTTTTGAGATACCAGCTGTCTCTCCTCCGATTTTTTGCATTGAGTTGACAGAGTAATTTGAGTTAACGAGCTCCTTAACGAGCCCCCTAACTAGCTCGGTCTTGGAAGGAATTAAACTCGTAAGTCAAGGCCCCACTGTAAAAGGCATCTTCGCAGTGACCATAGGAAATACACAAAGTTAGTTCAGAAATTTCTATATTCCTTATCATGTCCAGATGAATTAAATTTTCATCTATATACTTAAAATTTGCTAAAGAAGTTCACCATGGTGAGATAACTGTTTTAGGGTTGAATCAATTTGTTGAATTTTTCTTTCATTTGTTTCCTTTCCCCTGGGAAGGGTCCTAGTTTATCCTTTTAGTCTGCATATTACTCATGCCCTTCTTTATCATTTAGGTAACTGTGTCTAGTATTAACTTTCTCCTATCACATCATAAATTCCTTGGCATTGGGGAAAACACTTTGCTATTTCCAATGACTACCATAGTAGCAAACATACTAGTATAATGAATGCACAATAAATTTTGAATTCAGAATTGATATGAGACCTAAGAAAATCACCTGCTTGGCAATCAACCCTTTAAACTAGGATTTAAAGCTCTAAGAACAACTGTAGGTAGGGAAAATGACATACACATTGTCTAAGGCTCTCAAATGCTATTAAATCACTTTAAAAAATAACACCAGAGAATTCTTGTGATTTCCAAGTTGCTATGACATGGATTAGAACTGACGTTATGTGACATAATGCTGAGTAAGTTATTTTCAGGAATTTATCATTTGCATACCACAGTTTCATTTGGCATCAGAAAGGGGTCAACTAAAATATAGGACCTTTAAGAGAAGGTTAAGTGGGAGACTTTACTGATAACTGGGAAGAAACTGTGATGTAATGGAAAGAAAGAATACTAAACTCAGAGTCAGAAAACAGATTTTAAGCACTGACTCCATCACTCACTTGGTATATGATCTTGAGCAAATCTTCCCCTTAGTATTAGTTTTCCTATCTGTACAAATGGGGTAAGAATGCCTACCTTCCCTTCCTGATATGATTATAAGCATAATGAGACAAAGATTAACATAGCGGTATTCACAATTGGCTTTTAAAAATCCTCTTATTCTTGGCCAAATTTCTCCTTTAATTTCCCCCACACTACTACACACACAAAAGACAAATTGAACAAGTAGAGTTCAACCTTAAAATTTGGGCAGAGATGATTAGTTATTATTTAATAGGAATTACAAAGTCATTAAAGATTTTGGAAAATGGGAGGATAAAAGTGTATGGTTAACCACAGCAGGGAAACCAAAGAGAAGGAGGTCAAGTGCCAAACGCCTCTGGCTAACCCTGTGTGGCCTCCCAGTTTAGTATGGAGCCAAAGGAAAAGGGAAGGTGCTGTCTTCTAAGGACCCTGGTAGTGTGGCAAGTGGAATGTTTGTTGACTGACAATATAACTATTTATAACCTTCATAATTAGCCTCTCAGCTTATAGGCTTAACAGCTGCTGTAACCCAACATTTGACTTACATTTGACATGCTGTTCCACAAATCATCATTCTTAGCATTTCCATAGCTGAACTTCTTTAAGTAGTGAATAATTCCTTTCCGAAATTTCTCCTCACTCAAGAAATCCTTGAACATATTTAAAATACAAGCTCCCTAAAGAGAGAGAAAAAGAAAAGAATATATAAAGGAAAAGGTAGTAGAACATATTTTTTTTAGTGTGACATATTTTTAAAGGAAGCTTAATTTTACAGAACTTATAGAATGTCTGAAAAATGAACAGCAAATAAAATAAAAAGTAAAACAGGTGACAGTAACCCGGCAGCACCAACTTCAACTGTTAATTTTATAGGCCTCCTTTTAGTTCTCCTGAAAACAGTTTCTACTGCCCACAGCATTTACTACCTTGTTGTAGGAAATTGTGTCAAACATTTCCTGTATTTCAGTAGGGGTTTTTGCTTGATTGGAGATAGGATGGGATGAATTTAGTGAATCTCTTTTAATGACTTCAAAACACACTTCCAAAAAATAGTCATCCTAAACAGAAGAGAACATTTTTTTTCAATTTCAATTTGACATTCTCAAAGCAATAGAAAACATACTAGGTTTAGCAAGATATTCTTAGAAGTAATTATTCAATTAATATTTCTGACAATTGATTATAAGTTTCTTTCCCTTTATATATTTCCCTTTCAACAATTCTCTACTCATAAAGGTATAAATCCAACATCCCCTCAGATATGTCATGAATGTTTACCAGCTACCAAGCCTTTGGATACAGAACTAACACTAATGGTTCCCATTAGTGAACACTTGCTACATGCCAGGAACTTACATCTATCATCTGCCTGCTTGGGAGATGCACTATATGCATTTTATAAGTGAGACTATATGAAGCTTTGGGACTAAAACATGTATTCATCACATAGCAATAAGACACTGACTTTGAATCCATGGTTCTCAACCTTCCTAATGCCGTGACCCTTTAATACAGTTCCTCATGTTGTGGTGACCCCCAACCATAAAATTATTTTCGTTGCTACTTCATAACTGTAATTTTGCTACTGTTATGAATCGTATTGTAAATATCTGATATGCAGGATGTATTTTCATTGTTACAAATTGAACATAATTAAAGCATAGTGATGAATCACAAAAACAATATGTAATTATATATGTGTTTTCCGATGGTCTTAGGCGACCCCTGTGAAAGGGTCGTTCGACCCCCAAAGGGGTCACGACCCACAGGTTGAGAACCGATGTACTAGACCAATGCCTACTCCAAAGAGCTAATCATTAACCAGTTTGATGTGGTGTTTAGATCCCCTTTGTCTATAAAAAGACAATTTTGAAGAAATATTTTTTTTTTTTTTGGTAAGAGAACATTTATTGGGTAAATTACAGAGGTAGACAAAGTAATTCCTAGAAGAAGTGGGTTTAGCAAACAAGTTCCAGAGGTCAAGGAAGGGCCGTTGGAGCTTGGGAGTGAGGAAACTAAAGGTAACACGCCTGGGGCAGGGAGGGGGAAGGGGAAGGGAAAGGCAAGGGCGTGCTCCCTGAAGGGAGAGCATTGAAGAAATCGTTTTATACATTTTGGGGAAGTGAACAATAGGCCCTTTGTAAATTCTAGAGGACCGTGCCCCCAGTCATGCCTAATTCAGGTTACATACCAGGAACTCTGCACGGATCTATAGCCACGGGCATTATCTTATCCTATATCACTGTATATGGGCAGAGAAATTTCTTCCTCTGGCTCCACATGCACACCTGAGTATTTGTGCTACTGGAGTTCTCTGTCCAAAATTTTTTTGTTTGGGGAATTTATGGTATGGGCTGAATAGTATGCCCCTCTGCAGTTCCTAAAGTGAAGCCCTAGTCTCCAGCATGTGACTGTGTTTGGAAATAGGGCCTTAACAGAGGGGACTGAGTTAAAATGAAGCTGTAGGGTGGGCCATAATCAAACCTGACTGGTGTCCTTATAAGAAGAGGAAATTTGGACACACAGAGAAACACCAGAGGAAAGACTATGTGCAGATACAGCAAAAAAGGAGGCCTCTGTAAGCCAAGGCGAGAGGTCTCAGAGAAAACCAAACCTGCCGATACATTGATCTCAAACTTGTAGTCTCCAGAACTATGAGAAAGTAAATTGCTGTTGTTTAAGCCACCCCGTCTGGTATTTTATCATGGCAGGCCTAGCAAACTAATACCATTTGCTTTGTATATCAAACAAAACATCATAGGCTCAAAAACACAATGCTATATTGTTTTCTCTTTAGCATTCACAAACATTTTAACAGTAAATCGACAATTGCTTAGGGCACATGGTATGATGTACAAAACTGTGAACTTACGAATTGTAGCTCTGGATATGTAGCATTAATAGAGATAAGTTCCATGTACTTTGCAAAACCCTCATTGAGCCAAATGTCATTCCACCATTCCATTGTAACCAGGTTGCCAAACCACTAGGAGGTAAAAACTCCATGTTATTCAAAGTCAAAAAATACAGGTAATTGCTAACTGTAGTAAAAAATATAATGGATGCCAATTTCCTTCTTTTAGTAAATAAGGCCTTTCCTCTATCTTAGCTACCCTTTTCTTTCTGGACAATTTCCTTCTATCTGTTTCATCTCATGGCACATATAAAATAATTAAAATCCTGTGGCACACACAAAATACATTTTTTTGCCAATCTGACAAAAAATAGGTATAATTTTGATTCATTCAGACCTGACAGCTATTGTATTGGTTGTCGTCACTTTTTAATTTGATAATCTAAGGGAGAAGAGGTCAGTGCCCCTGACTAAATAGTCAGGCTTTGCATGTTTTAAAAGTTCTTGCGACTCACTAGTGTTATTCAACTGAGTTCCCTGCCTTTTTGTCTCACTACCACATTTTTGTTTGCTTCACTTTTCTTTTTTGTTCCCATTGCCTCCAACTCTCCAATTTTCATTCTATCCTTTGAATACTTCTTAGCTATTAGATTCTGGAAGAAAATAAAACATTTTGGGGGGGAGGTGTTTGTGTCTTGCACAACTATAATCTCAGCTTATCTTTGAATATGGTGATGGTCTAAGGAAAAATATAAGTCAAAATATCCTTGGTGAAGTTACCTCTTTATTTAAGTAGTAGGTACTTAAGAGGATCCTAAGAATTCATTTAGGACATTCAAATTGTTACTTAGTATTACTGATGAGCATATTTGGTGTTAACCTCTGCCCTGACATTTCCAGGGATTAACTTGGCCACTAAAGTGAATAAAGGTCTAAGATTTTAACTATGTACATAAAATAAAAAGGATGTATAAGGATAATCTAAATAGAATTCTACCATTGACCTATATTTGATCTGTAGTTTTAAATATTACTATTTTTGTGTCCTTTTATATTTTATTTATTTTTTTAGCCTATATACCCAATACAGTGCATCTAGTTTATCTATTTTAGGATTGCAGTCTCCAGGAAGGTGGGAAACTAAAAGATTTTAAGATCCAGAAGAGCCTTGATACAGTTATAGAGAACAGCTACATCTGTAGCTTTTAGAAAATGTTTGAGCTCTATTCCTTTTTTGATGACCCTCAGATCATTTTGCAAGTGGGCACCAATCTTCCCAAGGACATTTGTGAGAAGGGACAGGTGGTGTTTCCTCAATTATAGAAATGATGAATATGAGAAATACAGGTTGAGCTGATTCTGGCCACTTTTTTTAGTTAGCAAGAGTAGTTTGCTTATTCATTCATTCAACGAGTATCTATTGAGAACCTATATTCCTGGTACCAAGCCATATATTAGAAATGTGAATACATATAATACAGCCTCTGTCTCATTACAAATGATGGAGGTCAACCAGCAGACAAATAATGCAATAAAGCATTAGGTTGCCATGATCAATGTCTGTACAGGGACAGAGGGTTCCAGCAGGAAAGAATCAGTTCTGCTTGGAGAGTTTGTAGATTAGTTAGGAAATGATTCATTTCCTGAGTCTTGCAAGTGGTCTTGGGTATGTTGGGAGTGGTGTGTGCTCTGGGCAGATCAGTAGTAACAAACTCATAGAGGAGCAACACAACCTAGCATGTTCAGGAAATGGCAGTGGTCTGGGATGGCTAAAACTTAGGGTGTCAGTAAGAGATGAGACTGGAGAGGTGGAGAGGGGCTGTCATGGGGACCTTGTATGCCATTCTGGGGACCCTTGACTCACCCAGTTGGCACTGGGAGTTTTTGCCAGGGTTTTCCACAGAGGAGTGACACGGTCATATGGAGACAAAATAGTCAAGCCAAAAAATTCTAGTGGAGCCTGCTGCTTTATCCATCCATACACTCTGCATTTCCACAAAAGAAAAGCTATTAAAGGAAAACTCAGAGGGAGCGTGGAGCTGAAGAGCTAGAGCTCTCCGACCATTTCCCTATGAACACTGGGTAGAAAGATTAGGAATCTCTAGGCTCAGTTAAGTGCTTTAGAGCTACCAGTGACGAATATCCAAAATCTCTATGATGGGCCAGTGGGGAGATCCTGAATCTGAGAAAGCTGCCCACATAGTGCAGTGCAGAGCATGGCTCCTATGTAATTGGGTATTTAGTTCACTGCTTAAAAAAACAAAAGACATTATTATGATGATAATAAAAGGTAAACTTAAAAATTAAAAAGAAGAGAAATTACCAGATTTTATATTGTCATGATATTTACCTACATGGTGAAAGAGAATTTCTAGGGCTCTAAATAATTCACTGTGCTACTGGGGATTTTCAGAAATAAATAGAGTAGAAATGGTCTCTGATATCTATAGTATTGGTTTTTTTGGCTCCATATTTGTATGTAAGACAGTGTCAATAAGTGGGCCTTGGAAATCTTACTCTGCAAGTAATGGTAGCAGTAGTAGTGGGCATTGTCATCATCATTAATAACTTACACTAATTGAGGGCCTACTATACGACAGGAACAGACATCTGTAATCCTCACAAAGTTTCAAGAAGCTTGATTTTGGAATGTCACAGTACTAAGGCTATAAGAAAAAATATATTTAATAGAAATCTCTTTTTTTGTAGGGTTTCCAATTCTGTGTTCTATGAATTTGCATAGTTGCCACCCTTCGCTACTAAATGACATTTGGAGGGTCTACCCTGAAGGGTTTTAGACAAATAAAGTGATTGCTTCTCTCATGATAAATTTTCTGTATGAGTCCCATAGTCTAGAGCTGTAGCCCTTTGCTACTTGACATATTGTGTCTAGTTTGGTAATCCATAAGGTCCCCTCTAGAGATAAAATAATACAATTTTATGTTGTTTTAGGAAGATTGGTGGTATCCTGCATAATGCTCTTTTGGACTGATACTAAGAAAATGTCATGAGTACCAAGTACCTGGTGTGCTAATTCATGGGCTATGACTCTGGTGACCCATAGTTTATCAAAAGCAGAAGAGGTCTTTGGATCAAAGAGCAGTGATGTCTCTCTATATGTGATGAGGCCCCAATTTTCCATGGCTCCAGTTCCAAAGTCAGGAATCGCAACTAGATCTAAAACATAAGAACAACCATACTTGACCATTATGGCTTCCATACTAGAAGTGGGATTTGCTTCCTCTTCAAATACATTATGATCCTTGCAGTATACATAGCAGACTTTCTAAAAACATCAAGAATAACTTAACATTGACATAGTGTCTTGTAGTTGCACTAAAAATAATCAGTACCCATGTCAAGTAGAATATATTCTATCAATACAGTTTTAGTTGCAGTTGAAGTACCCTATTGACATTAACCATTGTTTTTTTCAAAAAGTTTTTACCTCAATTTCCTCTCAACATTGATATTTTCTCTACCTCTTAACTAAGTCATAGGTGGGGGAGGAAGTGTGTGTGTATGTGTGTGTGTATGCATCTTTTGCCGGTGACTTCATGTAAGTTAGAAATTTAAAATTTCTGGCTAATATTTGATCTTGATTTTTTTTATTTTGCCATGACATTTTGGAAGAAGTACTGTTCAGCTGAAAAGAAAGATAATTTTTTTAAGTTTGTAATGAACCATGTCATTGGTTTAAATTACGTTGTCTGGAATTAGTACTAGTTAATTCCAGTGTATAAAAACAAATACTTATAACAAAATAAGAAACTAAATTGGCACTAATAAAGATCGGTATTCATTAGCACTTCAAATGTGGAAATGACTCCTTTCTAAATTGTGCTGTTGAATTTCTATTAGTTGGATTATTTCTCAAAGCCATTAGAGACACTTAAATCGGCTCTATTTTTTTTTAAGCTGCATGTTTCTTTTCAGTTAGCTTTAAAATACATTTCATATACTCTTCAAGGTTGCATTTTTCAAGAACAACATCAGATTGCTGATTACTGTTATTTAATCTTTCCTTGACTTTTGACATAGAGGAGAGCAGTGGATTGTGGGTAACTGAAGTTAGTATATCTGTGCTAAGGGGTATGCTAAGGGGTATATAGAATCCACACTCTAATAATACAGTGAGATTCAGCAACTATAGTTATAAGCTCCTGGTGTATTTTAATATTCCCTTTTACCTTCTCTTTAAAAAAAATTGAATGGAGGTTGTGGGGAAAGGAGAAGGATATGATAAGGAGGAATATTTCCTAACGTCCCAAAGGAAAGAAATGTTTTGTCACTGTCAGAAACTCTTAAAAAGTAATCTATATAAGCTACAAAATTAAATCATAGTTTTTATATGTTCTGCAATATTACGATATTTCTATCTTATTTTTTAAGATAGAAAATTAAAACCAAGATTGACTGTATTTTCTTACATAAAGGTCTACTACCACATGCAAATTATCTATCTCCTCCAAATATTTTTTAAAAATCTGTACCACAGTCTTTCTTATTTTCTAGCCTCAATTACACTACAGATAAGAGATGAAGGGACGATTTTCAGCTGTTTACATAAATCTGTGGCAACTTTTAGGAAACATTGCTGGTCTTGTACAAATATGGTATAGAAAAAAAAATGTGCTCCAGAAAATTCACCAAATTAAACCCAATATGGAATGCAGCTATTTTAATTTTAAACCTGATAAAAGAAGAGAGGAATTATCCACACTACTTAGGCTTTTCGTAAATACTTTTCTACACTCAAGGACCCTCTCTGAGGTACAAATCATTGCTTCCTGTACTAAGTAACCTCCTGAGTGCTCATTTAAATTACATCTAAAGGGGGAGGGACTCAAAGCAAATTCTATAAGCAAAAATAAAGACACCTACCCAGTTTTGGGAGTGGATAGTAGATATCAAAGTAACTTTCATAAAAATCAAGTAGCTTCAATGATGCCTCCAAAGCATAATGAGTTTGACTCCATTTGTCTGGGGATGCATAGATGGACACCTGCAAAATGTTGGTCAGAAAGAGTGGTCTTTGAATGACAGATCCTTGGCATGATACCATTCCTAACAAACCTTATCCAAAGAAAAGCAAACTGCATGTCTCAAGAAATTATTGAAATACCATTAAAGCATGTTGTCAATAGGAGATCCGATGTTCTGTAAAGTATTAAAGCAAAAGCCACTCGTGAAAATTATAAACAACCCTGCATCTTTCATGACAATTCATTCCCTAGGTGCTAATGGTACATTTCAAGCTCTGTTAACCTATTATGTCATGAGAGTCCACTTGAGCTCATCAGTATCATGCACACTTAAAACTAGCCTTCCAAAGTTATGATTAGCACAATTCAAATAAAACATAGATTTATGAGGTGGAAAAGCCTTTAAGAACTTTTTGGATCCCCTTCCTAGTCTAGTTTACTTTAAACTAAAAAAGGCCAAATATGTTCATTGACTCCCCTCAAAGCAAATAGCCATTAAGTAGAGAAAAGCCTTTAAGAACTTTTTGGATCCCCTTCCTAGTAGTTTACTTTAAACTAAAAAATGCCAAATATGTTCATTGACTTCCCTCAAAGCAAATAGCCATTAATTAGAAAAAATAAAGTTAGTTTCTGATTTTCTTGGGTTTCAAGCATAATACTACTTTCATTTCATTATCTGCTTTCATGCTCTGAACTAACTGAAGTTCCTGAGAACTTTTATAGGAAGGATATGTTCATGGCTGTCATGTTTTGATGGATTACCAGGCACTGTGTTAAAAGTGTACATGTAAATATAAATTAATCCTCTCAATAACATTACGAAGTAACTGCTATTATCTCCCTGGAAATTAAGTAACTTGCTCCAAGTCACCCATGTAGAATCTATAGACCTGGGATAGGAGTCCAAGGAAGCTGACAGCAACCTGTCCTGTGAAGTAAAGCGCCATCTGATCGCTCACGTGTCTATAGCTGTGCACACACAGACCTATGTGCAGAGATGCCCTGATGTGTGTGCAAATACATGGTGCATAATTTATCTACATTTCCATAGTTGTCATATGTATGCAAATTGTAATAGCCATTTTATAGCCATTTTATGGCTATTTTTCATAAGCGTTATTATTTTATGGTTCTTTGAATATGTTTTTATGTCAATCATTTGGTTCCTCAGGGTAAGGAGTTTTTGTTTATTTTAATGTGTCTATTGATGTTTGCAAAACTTACATAAAAATAAATATTGGGTATTGTAAATTTTTGCAAACAATGAAGACTCTAAAAATTATGAAGAGTTTCTTTCATTGAGAAAAACAATTGGAAACAATGTGAATGTCCTGAAATTAGGTGCTGATTAAAAAAATTTTATGGTACCTCTATGAGGTATAGTACTAAGCAATTATTAATATAGTATTACAGAAAAATATTTAATGGCATTCAATTTTTATTGCATATTATGGTAAAGATTGAGTTAAAATAGTCACATATTATTTTATACAAAGTATATATACAATATATACTGTTAATATATATATGTATTTTAGAGGCCCGGTGCATGAAAATTCATGCACTGGAGGGGGCGGTCCCTCAGCCCTGCCTGCTCACAGTCTGGGAGCCCTAAGGGGTGGGAGGCAACCCGGCCATCAGGGGAAGGCGATGCCCCCATCACACCTCTGCTGCTGCCACTGCCGGTAGAGCAAGCCTCGGCCAGCCCTGGTTACCTTAGCCTCAGGCAGCCCTGGGTGGCTGGGCAGCTGACATCCAAGGCTTGCCTATGTCTCGGGCCCACCCTGGGTGGCTGGGCAGCTGACATCCGAGGCTTGCCTGCACCTCGGGCCGGCCCTGGGTGGCTGGGGGGCTGAGG